AACTTTTGGGAAAGCAAGGCTATGTGAAATTCAATGGAAACGTCAGCTCAACTCATATCATTGTGGGAAGTTCTTCTTCTACCGGTTTGTCATCACCTTAAACGAAATTAAGTAAATACATCTCATACTACTGATTTACTGGTAGTCACGAAAACAATACTTTATTCTAAAAATATAGTTGAGAATAGTTACGGATTAGCAAAGTCGTGCTCTTAGGCCCGTGGGCAGAAAGTGGTTCAAGACTAAATGCCGGCAAGTTTGACTAAATTCCATGTCTCCTATCTTCCTTTTTGTGAAAGGCCCACAACTCCTCGCTCCATTGGCCGGTGATCTCTGCTTTGCAGATCTTCGGCTTGCCGGTGAACTATTGCCTCTGCCTGTAGCCCAGATGGCAAACGCCCAACCACAGGGTCCACACCGCGGTCTCTCCGTATCCCCTGGTCACCTGGTATTCCTCAAGCGACTGTCTGGCAGCCAGAACGCCGGAGACGATATCGTTTGGGATGAGGATCCACACGAAGATGAAGGTAATGGCGAGTCGGTCATCAGCAGTGACCTCGATGCTGGGGCAACTGAGGCTGTCAGGCGCTTGGTTTCCGAGCAGGACTATCTCTCTGGTCTATTGGAAGTTGGCTGCCCAGCTGAGACATGCCGTGAAGGGCCTGAAAGCGAGAACATTGCGCCCAGTTTCCCAAGCTCACTTCAGTCCAATCTTCCTCCAGGAAGACGGATCCCCAACTCATTGTCATCTACTTCTTCTTTCCATCCCCACGCCTATATTTCCTCCAGTTCTCACGCATCAGTGCCCTCGTCCCAATATTCCCGTCTAACCCGGGACAGTTTGGAGGCAATGAAGATAACCAAGTTTGTTCATGTCTCACGTCCGGACCTCTGTCCCTGGTCCACGGATCGTCAACCCCTTCATCTGAAAGCCTATAATGCATCAAGCTGGCAATGTTACGATGCGGATCAGGTTTTGGGAGCTGTCTGGGGCGAGGTTTTATGTCCACTCGTATTTGGTAAGTGGACTTGTTGACCCAACATGATTGTCTATTTTCTTAGGCCTTTTTGTTAAACTAGTTGTTCGCAACTTAGTCTTGTTGTTAGTGGGATATTGAAGAATATGCATTGTCTAACGTCTTCTTTCACAGCATTTATGATCATTTACAGCCTGGGAGCCTGGATTTTTCATTATCATTCTAAGCAGCATCGTCAGCAAGTCTTGCCATTGTCCTAAGAACGGTGCTATGCTTACTGATTATGCTGATTATAATGCCGATGAACATTCTGGGAATTTGCCAAGTCCATGGTCGGCTGCTGATAAATATCATGATAACTGTGAAAGAGGATGTCACACAATGTATCTGCTTCTAGGTGGCTTTTAGCACACTTCCAAAGTGGGAGAATGAAATCTAACCAACTCCATCCCAGGAAATGAGAATTGGTCACTTTGGGTCACTTAAAGCAATGTAGGGCTGATAGATGAATTACCAGCAATGTATTCAGTAAAAGGTCTCAAGATGTTATTTTTATTTCACTTGGCCTGACTTCCTTACTGGCCTTCTCATCGAGGCTGGGATCTTCGCAAACAGAAATAAAATTTAACCCTTTTCCTGTGCGCCCAACGGTTCCCAGTTGGCACAAGGCAGATGCGACTTCAAGACGAACTCGGTCTCTTCCAATTCACAATTATGATGGAAAGGATATCTATAAAGTAAAATTGTATTCTTCCATAAAAAACAAAACCTCGTTACCATATTGGTAGGGAGAATGCCTCAAAATTATTGATAGATCTTTAATGAGAACATGACCGTGTGGCGAAGTGGTGACGTTGCCTCTTGAAGCTGATGAGATCGGAGCGATTTTTTAATTGCAGTCTTCGTGAAGACAAGTAATCTTTCGAGGAAGCTCTTGACTTGGAATGGCTGAGCTCACTTTCATTTCGAGTAAATGCTTGCGATGGAGCGATTCTAGGACGATGGTTAATTACTATTGCTGAGTTTTAGTTTGGTCTTACAGCATCATTCTAGTTGACATTGTTCTTGAGGCAATCCCTTTCGAGTCCGTTAAAAGACTGGTAAGGGAGAGGCCTTGCCAATAGTACTGGATTTTACTTAACCTGAATATGCTTGTAAGAATTATGGTCTGTCCCGATTATGTTCGTCACAAGGTAAAAGACAGT